CCAGGGTTAGTCCATAGGTGTTGATAGCTTGAAGTACCACTACAAGGCGCCGGAGATGCTCGCCAAAGCTAGAGAAAAAACACGACGACGTCATCCAAGTATACGAGGCAAGTCTACCATTTGAATTCAGCCAGCACGATGTCCATAACGCGCTGGAACTTCGCAGGCGCCTTGCGAATATCAAATGGCATGTCCTTATAAAATCGAAGAGGCCGTCTGGTGTGATGAAGGCCGTCTTCTCTTGATCTCTCTCGTCGACCTCAACTCGCCAATAGCCCGTTTTGAGATCCATCGAGGAAAAGTATTTCGCGCTGTGGAGTCGGTCCAGGGCGTCGTCTATGCTTGGAAGAGGATACACGTCCTTCTTTGCGATTTTGTTCAGGGGGCGGTAATCGACGCAAAAATAGGGTCCCGTCCTTCTTCTTCACTAATACCACGAGTGACGCCCACGGACTCTTGGACGGCTGAATGATGTCGTCGAGTAGCGATTCGTTGACTTGTTTCTTCACGGTGCGGCGTTCGCGCGTCGACACTAGGTACGGGCTTTGTCGAACTGGTCGGGCACTTTCTTCTGCGCGGATGCGATGTTTCGCGACTAGGGTTTGTCGAATTCGCGATGATGACGAGAAGCAGTTCTTGAATTGCAAGAGCAGGGACTTGAGCTGGTCTTGCTTGCACTTCGAAAGGCTCGGGTTGACATAGAAATCTGGTTTGGGACCTCAGTTCATCGAAGCAGCATCGGCAGCATCGAAGAGGGAGAATGAACTGCTGGCCTCCACAAATTCATCGATGTAGGCAACCATTGTACCATGGTTAATGTGCCTGTATTTGTGACTGAAGTTTGTCAGCCCTACCTATGCCTTGCCGTCACGCAGCTCAGCTATGTTCTTTCGACGCAAGTCTGACGGTCCAGGAGGAGGTGCTGATCGCCCTCCACGATGCCTTCAAGGCTTTGGGATTTTTTGGTGCCAACGGAAATGACGACGCTGGAGGAAGGCGGCACGGGGACCTGCTCTTCTAGCATATTCAATGCGTGATTACTTGGCGTTGTAGGGGTCGGCAGCGTGTTTTCTTACGTTAGCGTGATTGGCTCAGACCTCAGGTCGATGACAGCACCATGTTGAGTTAGAAAGCCCATCCCTGGAGCAATTTTGTAAGATGATAAAGCTCGCAGGATAAGTCTGGTTATTGATGGTTACTTTGGCTGTGCAGACATCCAGTCGACGTTATTAAAGGACCTCCAGTGGTCCGGATTAAGGGGCCTCACCATGCAGTTCTCACTTTTTTCAATATCGTCGTGAGAGACCCACTGACGACGGAATAACCGGCTCCAGTATCAACGAGAGCAGTGACGAGGAGGCCGTCGAATATTACGTCGAGGTCGCTGGTTCATCGTCGTGCGTTGCGGTTGGGTCGTGGCATCGGGTCATGGCTACGTCTTTGCTGCACTTCTTCCACGTTGCGTCGTGCCGTCTTCATGATGCGAAGGTTCGACGTCAAGACTCTTTTCGTCTTGCGGCGGGTGCTTGCGATTTTGTTGCGGCGTCGTCGTCGTCAACGGCGGAGGATCTTCGGTGCATGAGTCGTCGTACAGCAACCGCACCTCCATCGGTTGCTGCCGTTAGTTTTCCGAGTATTGGCTCGAGGAACGGCCCCGAGTAGGGCCGGTGTACTGTTGGCGTTGCGGTGATATGTAGCGGCCTGGCGACGGGGAATGGTAAGGTCGTCGGGGGGTCCACTGTGCTCCTGCGAGCTAGTCGGCGATATCTTGAGGCCGTTCATCCCACTGTAGACACGGCGTGGTCACGTAGAAACCGCGTAGCCCCATTTGTCTGTACTGGCAGCGGTGGTAGGTGTGGCCAGCTTCCCCGCTGTGCTACATCTGTGCTACACTATATGTAGCATAGTGAGTGATAATCGGGAGCGTGCCAAACATCGGTTTTCCTCGGAGTGTATCGCTGGCCGTCTGGCGGGCGGTATGACGACACTGGGGGCCTCCGATATTGTCTCACGGCGAAAACTGCGGCGATGCGGTGTCTCGGCGGGGGCGTGGAGAAGGGACCTGACAGTGGGCTGCTGCAGGACAGCTCATGGCTTGCACCTGTGGAAGCTGAGGAACGCCCTACCGATTGTTCAATCTCCTGGCGTACGACGTCCATGATGGAGTCCACTTGAGGCTGCGTTGAAGGTAGTAATTTCCGCAACTCCTCTTGCACGATCGCTCGCATTGTCTCACGCAGGTCAGTGGTTCCCAGCGCTCGGATCTCGGCGTAGCTTACAGCCGAGAAACCTGCGGTTGTATTGCGATTGTCCGCATTTCGAGCGTCTTCTCGATTGTGGATTCTTCCGAGGCGAATTAAGCGACCGTTTTCGGTGGGTTTCTGATCAGTCCGGCGGAAAGTTCTTGCGTTACACCCCTCATAAGGAAGCTCACTTTCTTCTCTCGGTTATGTTGTGGTCGGCGTGACGGAACAGCCGGGTTATCTCTTCTACAAAGATGTTCACACCTTCGTTATCAAGTTGAACCCGTGTCTCCAAGGCACTAGCGGCGCGTTCCCTGCGAAGCGATGCTCGTGAATGTGTTCAGGAACGTTGTCTGAAAGACATCCCAGGTACGTAGAGTGGGTTCTCGGTTCTCGAACCATGTTTTTGCGGCGTCTTCAAGGTAAAAGTAGACGCGGCGCACTTTTTCGTCGGTGTCCCAGCTGTTCAAGGCGGCGACTCTATTGTAGGTATCCAGCCATATTTCTGGGTCTTCAAATGATGATCCCCGGAAAGTGGGAGGCTCCTTAGACTGCTTGAGCAAGATGGGTACAGGTGGTGCAGGAGCCAGGAGGTGTCATCGTCACAGTGGTCGAGCTCAGGGTTTTAGTTTTCCGAGTTGGGTCAGGTAGAGGCCCGAACTCTGGCGGGAGCCCTTGCTGCTGACGGCTGACCCGCTGCTCAGCGTTTGCACCGATGTCCCCTTGACGGCGTGGGCTCGGTTCACGGCTGGAGGGAGACGTTCGGTACATGCGCTAGGAAGCACCTCCACCAGATGTCACGGGGTCGTGACGTGGACGAAGGAAGCAGGCTGCAGGTCGAATAATAAAATGTTTATTCGGGCCGAACTTGTGACCACGTGAAAGTCAGATTACAGCAAGAAGCTGGCACTGATAGCAGCGAGCAGGGCGTCGGCCGTCGATCAACTGACAAGTGGCGAGGCGTGTCGGCATTTAGACCCTCGCCATCGAAAATTCTAGCGTTATCGCTAGCGGCGACGTAGGTTCCAGAATAGTTTGTAGTGTTCACGAAGTTGGCGTAATCCTAACAAAGCGAACTACTACGGCCTCGCAGCTTCTCTAACATCGTACGCGCGGTTTGCGTTGAACGTATATTGTAACGAGGCAATCGCAAAACTTGAAGAAATGAACATGGCAATAATTTCGACCGAATACGGTCCTAAATTGCGGGAAAATTCACAGTTCTCAGACCCGGTGGAATTTAAACTTGTGACGCCGATTGTACGCCGCACGTGACTGATGTGACTGCCTTCTTTCTCCTGGTGGAGGGTGTTTTCCACGGCTTAGCGATCACCGGTAATGAACAAAACCGAAGCTGCCGCTGAAGTATAGGCCACGACAGTTTTCCACGGGCTATATTCATTCGAAAGTAAATGAAAAACAGGGCTGGCGCAACTGAGACGCCTCGCGGTTTGTTTGCATTCCTCGTAGCAGACGCGGAAGACAGGAGGGACGCAGTCAGAGGGCACCGTGTAGCTCCGAAGAGCGGCACGTGGCGCCGTTGGCAGTGAGTCGAATTTCGTGTTTGGACTTTCTTCTCGCCCATGTGTTGATAACAGCCGACCAGCTGTGGGTAGCTACGGGATTGAACGAAATACCTACAAGAAGGCCCCACTCCAACAACAAGCGGCATCAAAACCACAAGACACTAGTTCAGGGCAAGAAGTCGCGCCACCAGGAGGAGGGAGACATGGCGGCGACGGCTGGCGGCGCCGCTCATGATGAAGTGGACCGGCGTAATCCATCACGTTGGCCGACATTCCCGCCCTCAGCCGAGGAGAACCGAAGCCGCGAGCCTTGCTTCGGCGGGTAGCGGGAGACAGGACCCCTGACGCCTCTTCATGGCGCCGCTTCGTCTCCTGAACAGGCGACAACGTCGTCCGGAATCGCGTATACGACAGACGAATGGCGTTGCTACTACACGTTACGTTTCCCGCCCGGCCATGCCACGCGCCGAAGGCGGCAAGCAGACGATTCTGGGGGCACCACGCTGCCGCCGGCTTGAGCGATCGCGTCCTCCTCGTTAGGCCCAACTCCTTTCCCCATTACCGGAGATCTTACAAGCTGCGGCCGGGAACGGAAACGTCACCGTGCCCTTCGGCCTGGTTTGTCTAGAGAAACGCAGCTGTTATATGGGCTTGAGAGAGAGGACCAAACGGTGTCTTTCGCCCTGCTTTTCCTCTTTTCGCGTTTTTTCACACTAAAACACGAATGCGTGCACGCACGTAAACACACACACACACACACACACACACACACACACACACACACACACGCACACGCACACACACACACGCACGCACGCGCACACACACGCACGCACGCACGCACACACACACACACACACACACACACACACACACACACACGCACGCACGCACGCATGGACACACGTTCTTCTATGGCGAGCTCGGCCGTTCACGTAACGTGTGGTTACTCTGCAACCACACAGACACGTTCAAGCACGCCCACCATCAGATTAGCGTAGGTTGTGCAAGAGTGTGTATGTGCATGTGTGGAGACATCCACAGCAAGGACAAATCAGTCCGTTGCGGCGGCAAGTTCAAGGGGAGATCAAGAGAAAAAAGGTGCGTATATATCAGGAGTGTACAATACTCCTCGCTTAAATTCGACGCTGGGCACCGGCCATACATACGCCTCTCTCTGCCGAGGAGGGATAACTCGCTCGGTCGCGGCCCGCTGGCACCTAGTAGTGTTTTTTCCGCTCCACTTGGCTCGGGTTACGGGGCTCGCGGGCTGATATCTCTCGCGTCGGCGCCTGCGGGACTGCGGCTGGCGTGAGAGGGGCCCGAACACACGGCGCCCTGGCGTCGCCGCCGCCGCCGCGGCCACGCAGAAAGTCGTCTGGGACCGTTGCTGGCCGCCACCGACTCCATCCGAAAGGCGCCCTCGCGCAGGCCCCCACCTCACCCCCCTCCGCCCCTCGGAAGAAGTGGACAAGCCCCCCACCCACGGCCGACACACCAGTCGTGCGCCCCGTTTCTCCTTGACACCCGGAAAAAAACCGACCGACCTACAGCGGCGGAAAGTTTCCCGTGTTGTCTTGCTGCTCCCCGGGTTGGGATCTCGTTTGTCTTGGTGCCGCATCTCCTCGCCACCCTCCTCTCCATTCACGACATCCATAACCTGCGCTTTTGTGTACGCCAAAGCCGCGAAACCCGATATTCCCGTGGCCCAAATTCCCAATAGGCTTGCGACCTTATTGTCCTACTCCTTCTGATATCGCCACGAAGACTTTGTTCAGTGAATCTGCCCGATACAAGTGGACATTCCTCGAAGATTCATCTACAAGCAGCGCCTTGTTCCCTTCAATAATTAGCGCGTGCGAGTACGATAGCAAGAAAAGTGTCGAATGGGAAGGAGTGTAATCGGGGCCGGACCTTTCTTTCCTTGAAGTCGGACTATGAATAGCGACAGTGGACTTCCATGGCTCCTCGTTCTCGCAGCGTCCTGACGGGTTGGCGAGCGAGCCAGTGACACCGTTTTGCTGGTGAGTTTGCCATCGGGTTTCTGCATTTCTTTATTTTTTTCCTCCCCGGGAAATGTTCTACCGGTGGACGAATGGCTGAACGGAAAGCGCGCTGTGAAACTTGCTATTCTTTTGTTCGTTTTGTTTGAATGTTTCAAGTATAATAGCGAAAGAGATATGCACAGCACGTGGTCTGCTCGCGTGCTGGTGACAGCTGTGACGGCACATAAGGATGTGCAAATGGGGTAGCTCAATCGTCAAGTTACTCGGAACCTGATCGTGCGTTTGCGCGACAGCTTGGTGTCAGTGCTGCGATGAGCTTGAAGCATCAGTCTTGTTAGAACATTCAGCTGACTAGGCGTTACCGGCCTAAATGAATCCGTAGTACTGGTGAACACACTCTTCGAAGTGCACAGAACAACACAGGACAACCACTAGCGGTTGTCCTGTGTCGCTAGCGTTTTGTGTTTCGTGTCCAGTGTCCGCCAGTGGTTCTCCTGTCTGTATAGTGTGTGTTTGCTAGTACTACGGATTCATTCTTCTTTGTCCCCGAGCGCTTGATTACGCGCCCAGTGAGACGTGTTCTGGAAGACGAACTTGATTCCATCCAACTGGGAACTGAAATAGTAACGTTATATAGCCGCCTTCAAGAACCTCGTATGTCAGTGATATACTTGATAGGCGTTTTTTTTTCTTCTGATAACACGTCATATGATGCGCCGAGCCCGCAACGACTCGTACTGTGCGAGTGTCTTCAGAAAGAAATAGTTAATGATTTAGAGTACCTGTGCGAGTTAACCTGTAGAACTCTTGGACAAGTGTTCCACAGAAGCCTTCGTCCCGGATCTGGCCATATTTTATCATTTTAATATGGTTCACCGAGACATCTTTGATGTATTTATGTTAAATAGACAGAAAAAAAGCCACACTGACACGAAAAAGAAGAGGGTCAGTACGAAACTGTTCATTTTTCAGCAGGCAATGGTCGGCCCAACAAGTTGTGTGCGCGTTGCCAAGCATAGTTACACCACTGCCACGTGACGCTTTGCTATTATAAAATGTGGTGGGTATACTACCACCCCCAAGCTTAACGAAGAGTGTTTAATAAAGAGCAGTGATACAACATAACGGAACATTTAAGTGACGGCTTGCTTGCAGACCTGTGTATAAAGATGGTACGGTCAAGATTAAATAAAACTATACTAAAACCTCGAAGCTTAAGAAAGAGAAGCAGTGGTAAAATAGACTTGCAAAACATAGCAATGCGGTAGCCAGATGAAGGAAAGGACACCAGCTTCGCTGTTTTATCAGGGTGTGCGCAGCGGAGCTGGTTATTTTTTAATCCTTTCTATTTCCATTACACTGCTTACATGGAAATTTATAAACGCTTATGCGAAAACATACACGCAAGGTATGCATAAGCATATGTTAATGCAAACAAACTGCTTAAGAAATTTAAGGCGACTTCAAAGCTTGACACGGAACTCGTACACCAGTGCTCGCATGCATTTGGGTATTCCATCTGTCTGTTTCTTAATAAAATAGCTGACTGGACTGCTTGGTTGTGCATGCTTAACCTTACGTATACACAAGCAACTAATGATGTGCACTGAAGTAGATCTCAAAGGACACCTACAAAGAAGCGTGCATTTGAGCTATGCCCCGCCAGGTGGCGCAGTGATTCCAGCTGCTTGCAACAAAACCGTCTGTACCTTTAATGAGTTGGAAAAGGCAGTGAGGTTGAGGATAACAGCTAGGACATTATAATGCCATGTATAGTACATCAAGAGTGCGGAAAAGGTGAGGAGGAAGGCACATATAGCAGATTAGCGGATTCGATTTGGTGGTTACGGGCATGCTAGAGAAGGCCACCAGCTACGCTGTTTAATCAGTGTTCGTAACTTCAATGCGTAGCTGCTCCAATAAAAAAAAAACGATTTATAAGGTGCTGAAGCGGAAGTGGATAGATTGTCCCTCATTGTTCATGCCACCAACCTAAAAGATTGTTGAATACTACAGCTGTGTACAGCTGCACATATAAATGTTTATTTCGTCATAAAACACTGTCCCCAATGAAGTTTATTGAATACTTAAATGTGAGTAACACTTCACTGCTATGGTAGCAAAAAAAATAGTTTTTACGGTACGCAAAAATAAGAAGGCACAGGTTATGTGTAACGTATGGCACTCAGACGATATCGCAGAAAACAATCTCTGACAGCAAAAAAAAAAAAAAAAACGTTAACCGATGATTACGATACTGCATAAAGCGAATTCTGTGCGCAGCTTGCAGCGCCGACTGTATATGAAGTTACATATCGCCTACAGAAATTACTAGCGATCGAGTGCTACGCACACCTCTCCTTGCATAGTGGACTACACGAACCTAGCGAAATGCCGACAGCACTTGAGATCTACGCACGCCACTCTGTTGTTGAAATTCCAACGGCAGAGTCGGAGCAGGCGACGGACCGCGTGCTCGGGTACTCGACTCTGGCGTAGAGCAGCGCCTCTTGATCCGCGATTGGAACACAACACGTGTCGCTGAAGCAAGGCGGGAGCGGAAGGTCTATTTTTCATGTGACAAGTCGCCCAGAGTACAGTGCACACAGTTATTCCATTCCGCTGTCGAATTCTGTCGAATTATCACTCGAGCGTGGCAGTTTCAGCATCCCTGTCATTCACCCGATGAATCACTCGTTCAGAAACATCTTTGACTCGGAGCTGTCGAGCAGTGAAAACAAAGGCGCATAATTTGCCGACTCGTCCATGCCGTCCAACAAGCAGGCGAATGTGTTAAAGAGGCTCTGAAACACTTTTTCAAGTAACCATGAAACAAGTTCACTGGAAGAGCTTATCGCCTCACGAATTGAACGCCACAAAAAGTTTAAGAATACGTCCAGTGCGAGTGGAGTTACAAAGGTTTGTCGCATGACGCAATTACATTCTCTCTTCTCTCGTCCCGACGATAGCTCTGGAAGTCAAGCAGGGAGGGATGGCAGGGCCACAGAAAAACGTCACCCACGCCTCGCGATCTTGAGCACTTTTTTTTCTTTTTTCTTTCTTCGAATGCGTGACTTTTTCAGTGTGATCGCGTGCGCACGCGTGGACAAGTAGCGTCCTGCCGCGGCGATCTCTGTAACGAGCGAGCGCACCATGTTCAAATCAGCCAATAGCTGATATATGGGTCATTGACGTGTGATTTTTGAACATATACGTGATTTGTCGATAGAAGAGAAAGCAAACAATTTTTAGCTGACTTTGATAATTTATTGGGAATTCAAGGCCGCATGCTGTGCTACAATATTTGGCTCGCGATTTGTCAGGAGCAGCTACTACCGATCGGCAGCATTTTCAGACCATGTTAAAAAAGTGTTGCAGGGCCCCTTTAAAAGAAGTACGCCACACTGAGTTTCGGTCCGCTCTGCCGATTTTAGTGGAGAAACTTTTCCTGCTCCACGGAGTGACTCGGGACAGTTTTTTTTTTGCAGGGCCATTCGTTTTTTCCACTTTACAATTTCGATGACGTCAGCAAAATGTCGCCACTGGCTTTTTTCCGCCTGCAGTCTGTTTGAAGCCGAGACAAGCCAGGACGAGGCAGAAACTGGTAATCATGGCCAATCATACCGAAGAGATGAACTTAACAGCGGTTCTCGAAAAAAAAAAAAACCTAGAATATGGTCATTCCTACTTGCATGGAACAAACGAACGTCAGCAAAAAGCTTGTGACTTATCGTCGTCCTCAAAGTTTTCGCGTGATCAGAGGTGTTTGCGTCGATATACCGTGTACACAGACATTACGAGGTCAATTCGAAGGCAAAACAGTTCGTGTTTCTTGTTTTCAGAACTCTCATTGCTACGAGACAGCGAACCATGCACTGCCGTAATGCCCCGTGTTGATACTTCTTTTTCGCAACGTTTACTGTTGGCAACGGCCTTTTAACACGAAAGTATATTATGCCGCGGTCCACCACGGCTCCGCTGACGCATTTCCGTCACGGATATGACGTTGTAAAATATATACTCACAGGTCGCAAAGAAAAAAAAAACTAGCAGACTCCACGTTCAGTGGGAATCGATGATAATCGAAGCACGAATAAGAAATGTTGATATGTTACTTTAATATCAGCACGACGTTACGAGGTGGAGGTAAATGATGCCGTACATTACTTCTGTGTCATGATTATTATGTTTGAATGTGTCGTTTACCTTCGCTATCTATTCACGTCACGTGATACCAAATTTATCATATGTGGAGCTAGCGAAACGACCGCGAGCACGCTATGAGCGTGGTATGTTGTCATGTCCTTACATGACACGCATGTCAGGATTATGATATTTGCGCGAATCATATATTTATTCATCCATTGACTTCACGTAACACGAAATTCGGTATATGTGGAGCTAGCAAAACGGCTGCGAGCGCATCATGAAAAGAGCGTTGACGTGCACGCACGCTGGGCACAGCGAGGCTAAGTTAGCAAAACGCGAGCACCCTGTAGTCTGACGCTAGGTGAGACCGGCGCAAACAGCGTCCGTCCGCGCGGCCCGACGGCAACCGGTGTTGCGACATGCTGCTTTACCGCTGATGCATTACCCAGACAACACTGCGTCTCCCTTTTTTCGGGACGGAGGGACGCTGAACGCGCTGAAACGCGCATGCGTCAAATCAACGCAGTGCGGCGCGCGCCTGCGAGCTAGTATATGGCGGGACTGGCGCCAGGCATCGCAACGCTGGCGTGACGTGTCGAAAAGAGCGCTGGTGAGCATGCGCACTGAATCACGTCGAAATGTATTGGCACCTTGACTTGGCATGTAATCATGTTCTCACATGACACACATCTCGTGATTATCACGTTTGCACCAGTCACATACCTTGGTAATCCATTGACGACACGTAATACCAAATTTGGCATGTGTGAAGCTAGCGAAACGGTCACGAGCGCATCATGAGTGTGGCATGTAGTCATGTTGTTACATGACGCGCATGTCGTGATCATCATGTTTGGATGTGTCATTTA